AAGTGAAGCGTCTTGACGGCTGTCAGTGCGCTCGCCGCTCGCCCTCCCTCATTCGATGGTTGCATTGACACAAGCACAGTCAAGAGGCAATAGGTCGGAGGCCAGAGTCTCCTGAGAAGATTAGGTGGCGGCAGGGTGCAGGTCATTGAGCGTGTGAAGCATCTTGACTGCTGCCAGAGCGCTCGCCCTCGTCTCACTCAGAGGGCTCTCGCCTCTCTGCACCAACACTTGACCGCTCTGCATTGTCACTGTACACGTTGCACGGAACCTGCTTGTAAAGAGGACAGGATGTCGGTGGGTGGCACAGGTGGATGGCATATGGGATTGATAAAAAGATGCACATATCAAGAGAGTAATACAGAAAAAGGATAATATTTTACGAGCAAACAATTTCTTTCTATTTCTCAAGCCACTCTGATTACACTCAACCCCCACATACCACTCTCAACCACAGCTCCACATCACTCAACCCCCCATGTGCCACACGTCTCATGTGCCATTCTCACTCATCCCCCCACCTGCTGCATACACCCACTCAGCTCGAGTGCACCCTACAGCTGCACCTGCAGCTAATTCACCCCACTCGTTGCAGTCACTCACCCTGCTCGTGTGGGCCCACAGCCCAACTGCAGCGCCACCTCTCCCATGTGCGACACTCACTTACCCCTCCACGTGTGCTACAGGCATTCGCCACCCCACGTGCTCCACACACTCACCCTGCTCGTGTGCGCCCCACTGCCCAGCTACAGCGCCACCGCCTCTGGGTGCCACGCACAATCACCCTCTCACATACCCTGAGTGCACTCCAGGCATTCACCCGCCCACGTGATGCATACACTCAGCCTTTCACATGCTCCACACACTCGCCCTGCGCGTGTGCGCCCCACTGCCCAGCTACAGCGGTACCGCCTCTGCCCACACAACGCCTGCAATTCTTACATGCCACACTCGCTCATGCCCCACATGCTACTCTCACTTACCCTGAATGTCCTCCACACACTCACCCTGCTCGTGTGCGCCCCACAGCCCAGCTACAGCGCCACCGCCTCTGCCCACACACCGCCTGCAGTCGCCCCATCGCCCACTCCTCCTCCGCTCCCCCTCCCCCTCCTGACCCCGCGTTTCCACTGCCACCACCACCACCAATGCCACCACCACCACCACTGCCACCACCAACGGCAGTGGCAGTGTTCGCAGCAGCAGCGGCGGCGGTGGCAGCGGCAGCAGCACTGGTGGCAGCAGCAGTATAGGAAGCAACAGCAGCCTGAATGGTGGCTGGAGGCCCTCTAGTGTTGGGGTTCCCACAGGTGACAAGGGAAGGTGAAGGCGAGGAGGCAGGAGGGGACGGGGAGGAGAGTGTGAGGGAGAGGGAGGGAGACACAGCACCAGCCGTAGCAGGGGTTGATAGAGGGCTGGAACTTACTGGTCGATTCGTTAGGTGCTGATATGATGAGGCTCGGCGGAGGTTTGGAGGTGAGGTTTGGCTGAGGGGCGGGCTGTGCGTATGCTCTGAGGCTCGGGGGTGGCTCGGGGAAGGAAATCGGTTTATCCGAGCCTGTGCCGGCCGCGGTAGATGTGTGGCTTCTGATTGGCTGGGAGCGGGCAGGTTCGGTGGAGAATGGAGGTTCGGCAAAGGGGCAAGGTTAGGCGAAGGGAGATTTGCTGGAGTGGGAATGATTGGTGGAGGGCGGAGGTTTGGGGAGGGAGAGAGGTTCGGAGGGGAGGGGAGGATCGGAGGAGAGGAGAAGTTTGGAGGAGAGGGGAGGATGGGAGGAGAGGGGAGGTTAGGAGGGGATGGGAGTTGCCTGGAGGGGGAGTGGGGAAAGAGGGGGAAACGAGATTGGTGCAGGGGAGAGGCTGGAAGGGAGGCCCGACGGGGATGGGAGGGGTGGGAGGGGTGGTGCTGCTGCTGCCGTTGATGCGGTTGCTGCTGCTGCTGCTGATGTTGATGCCATTGCTGCTGCTGCTGATGCTGCTGCTGCTGATGCTGCTGCTGCTGATGCTGCTGCTGCTGATGCTGCTGTTGCTGTTGCTGCTGCTGATGCTGAGTGTGCTGCTGCTGTTGTTGACGTTGCTGCTGTTGCTTCTGCTGCTGCTCTTGTTGTGAAGGAGGGTAGGGGGGACGGCCTGAATATGATCGTCCCTCAGGCCCCATGAACGGCTGGGATCTGCCAAACCCAGTGGTGGGCGCATCTGGACCGTCCATTGGAGCCTGCGATCCTCTGAAGGCAAACCCTCGGGCTGAGTCAGCATGGGGCCGCTGGGAAGGGGGGATGGGATTAGAGAGAGATGACGGTGGATTGGGATTGGGGAGGGGAGGTTGGAGTGGGGAGTGGGAGGCGGGTGGGGGAGGAGGGCGCAGTGGGACTCCTGATTGTTGCTCCAATGCTCCCCCTGCTGCCCCTGCTGCCCCTGCTGCCCCTGCTGCCCCTGCTGCCCCTGCTCCCCCTGCTCCCCCTCTCCCAGCACCTCTCCCTTCAATTCCCTTTCTCCCTCCCCCTTCCCCTCCCCTTCCCCATCCCTCTCCCCCTCCTCCCCCTCCCCCTCCTCCTCCCCCTCCTCCTCTCCCTCCTCCTTCCCTTCCCCCTTCCCCAGAACCTTCCCCCCCTCCCCCTGAAGCGGTAGCAGCGGCAGTAGCAGCAGCCATGGCAGCAGCGACAGCAGCAAGGCTCTCAGGGCCCACAGCTCCTCCACCTTCCCCTCCTCCGCCCCTTACTCCCTCTCCTCTTCCCCCTCCCCCTACCGCTCCCCCCCCCGCTCCCCCGGTAGCGGCGGCAGTAGCAGCAGCCATGGCAGCAGCGACAGCAGCAAGGCTCTCAGGGCTCAGCCCCTGCAGGAACTGTCGCCTGTGCTCAGGCGAGAGGGATGACAGGTGGTGCAGAGGGGTGGAGATGGGTGAGAGGCGGGGCGAGGGGCGAGCGGTGTGGTGGGGATGGGCTGGTGAGGCCAGGGAGGTTCTGCCTGGGATGGGTGCTGGAGCGGTGTGAGGGGTTGGGGGGTTGTGCGAGTGGGGAGTGGGGTTGGTGGTATTGGAAAGGAGTTGATGCAGGAAGGTGGGTGGGAGATTGGAGCTGCTTTGCTGGTTTATTGCAGCTGCTGCTGCGTGTGGGTTAGCTGCTGCTGCATGTGGGTTAGCGGCTGCTGCGTGTGAGGCAGTGGGTTGCACTCTCTGCTGCGGGAGCAACATGTTTGCCTGCTGCAGCTGGCCCTGCCGACTGTGTTGCTGCCCCTGCTGATTTTGCGGCTGATTCTGCGACTGATTCTGCTGTTGCCTCTGCTGGCTCAGCTGCTGCTGTTGCTGCTGCTGCTCTCTTCTCTCTCTGTGCCTCACACCCACTTGCTCCCTTGGCCACCCACCATCCAACCCTCCCTGCTGCACAGTCACTTCTCTCATTTCCCTCCCTGCAGCAGCACCCCTGACTCGATCCCCCGCCCACTCCCTCCTCTCACCACCTGTTCCCTCTCTCTGCCTCCAACCACCGTCCCCCTGTGCCCCAGGCAATAACACTCCCTGAAACCCCTGCTGCCTCTGAGGTATCTGCAGCCCCTGCAGTCTTTGCGAAGTCTGCCCCCTCTGCTCCCTCTGTCCCCGCTGCTCCCGCTGCCCCTGCTCGTCTCTGCCCTGCCTGAACTCACTCCCCCGCCCAAGTGCCCCTCTATTGAAGCCACCACTCCTTGTGCTCTCACCCCTGCTGCTCCCACTCTCTCCTGTCTCTGCAGGATCTGAAGCAGCAGCGTTTAGGTCTGCCAAACCGCCCCTCCTCCCTCTACCCATTTCGTCCTGCTGCCAGGCCGCAGGTTCGGACGGGCGGGGCCCCTCCCGAGCCAAAGGACCCCGCACCTGTGAATAGTTCCGAGCCAAGGGGTCTCGCCCGGGGTATCCCTGCGGGACAGGCCCGGAAGGAACCGTCACCCGAGCCGTAGGTTCGGAACGAGGCGCCACCTGTGACGCAGGTCCGGAAGCTGCTGCGGCTACCCTAGACATAGGTCCGGGAAAGGGTGGCATATCGCGCGCGGCCGGACCAAACAGGGGCAGCGCATTGGGCAGCGTGGGCCCAGAAAAGGGCGGCAGGTCTCGAGGCGCAGGCCCGAAAGCGAGCGGCAAGTCTCGGGACGTAGTTCCAAAAGGGGGCGGCGAGGTGCAGGGTAACGGCAGGGAGGGTCGCCATGAACCCTGTGCTCTGAACCTCGCTGCGTGCGGGTGGGCTGTGCGGGACGGAGCAGAGGACGGATGGGCCTGGGGTGGGGGCTGGTGGGGAGAAGGCAGGGGGCGCGGGGGGAGGGGAGGGGCTGGGGGGAGGGCGAGGGAGAGCTGGGAGAGTGGCGGTGGGGGGAGAGGTGGAGGTGGGGGCGGAGGGAGGGTGGATGGAAGGTGGGGAGTGTGGAAGGAGGACTGCTTCTGAGTCGAGTCCAAGGACTGTTTCTGAGTTGAGTCGAAGGAGTGCTTCTGTGTCGAGTCGAAGGAGTGCTTCTGTGTCGAGTCGAAGGAGTGCTTCTGTGTCGAGTCAAAGGGCGGGATCCTGGGGTCTTGGAGGCGACCAGAGGTAGCAGCGGCTGTGGCAGGGCGAGGGATGGACGGAGCAGCAGCAGCAGCGGCAGTAAAAGCAGGGCGGGGAGCAGCAGAAGCAGAAGAAGAAGCTGCTCAGCAGCAGCAGCAGCAGCAGCGGCGGCGGCGGCGGCGGCGGCGGCGGCGGCACGGGAGGAGGATGGGAAAGGCGGAGGAGGGGAGGAGCGGCTTCCCTCCCACACCAGAATCACATCATCATCCTCATCCTCCTCCTCCTCCTCTGCCTCCCTCCCCTCCTTGCTCCTCTCACCACCACCCCCTCCCTTGCCACTGCCCTTCCGGTTGCCCTGGCTGTTGCTGTTGTCTCTTTCTTCCCCCTGCCGCCCCTCATGCTCCCAAGCCTGCTTTCCTTCCCTTACAGCACCTCGCCCCCCTCCGCTCAAACCTCCTCTCAAGCATGACTCTATTGCACCACCCACAACCGCTGCCAGCCTCAGTCCTCTCGCAACCTCGCTTTCCCCAGCTGCCCTCCTTGCCGCTGCTCCCCCTGACGCTGCTCCCCCTGCCGTTGCTCCCCCTGCCGTTGCTCCCCCCCCTGCTGCATACACTGTCCCCACTGCCCCTTCTGCTGTTGCACCCCCCTGAGAGGCATAAACAACAGACACGGCAGATCCCACAGGGTCTGCCTGCCACCAGGGCTTGCGGGGGCCACTGCCGCCAGAGAGGGGCACAGGCGCTGATACCACTAACCTGCCTTGCTCCTCCCTTGACTCGCCGGCCCCTGTAGCAGCACCGGGCACTGTAGCACCTGCAGCAGAGGCACCAGGAAGGACAGCTGCTGCTGCTGCTGCTGCTGCTGCTCCTGCAGCAGCTGAAGCTGCAAGGGCTGGTCGTGGTGTTTCTGTCACCGCTGCTGCTGCTGCTGCTGCTGCTGCTGCTGCTCCTGCTTCCGCCCCAGCTCCCCCTGCTTCCTTCCATGCCTCGCTAACAGCATCCTCACACTCTTCGTTTAAATCCAAGCCCCTCAACCACCCCCCACCTCCCCCACCATCCCCACCATCCCCACCACCACTAGTAGCACCACCACCGCTGCTCTCACACGCACGTGCACCATCCTTATTCAATCCAACCACAGCACCAACATCACCCTTTGCACCAGCAGGTTCGGAACCAGCAGGACCGGAACCCACAGGTCTGGAATCTACAGACCTGAGACCCTCAGGCTCGGAAAAAACAGGTCCGGACCGGGGCTGTGAGGACGCGGGTGCAGGGGGGGGAGTGAGGGGACTTGTGGTGGTGGTGTGGGCGGGGGAGGGACGGCGAGAAGGAGGTGGCATGTTGGGGAGGGAGAGGAGCACGGGATGGGGGGAGGAGGGCTGAGGTGGGACTGCTAGTGCAGTGGCTGATGGGTCAATCTGTTGCTGCTTCTGCTGCTGACAAGGCATGGCAGCATGTTCTTCCTCTGTACCCTCTTTCTCCTGTGCTTTTAGCCCTTCCATGCCCATGCCACTGCCCATGCCCATGCCCATGCCCATGCCAATGCCTATGTCCCTTCCCACACCCCTCCCCACACCCCTACCCACGCCCCTCCCAATGCCTCTTCCCCTCTGCTGCTTCTCCCATTGCTCACCCCCATCCCTCCCCGGCCTCTGTCTCTTCCTCATCCTACCCCTCCCACTCCCTCCTTCCCCCTGCACCGCACTGCCCCCAGCACCACCGCTCTCAACCCTGCCACTCCCATCCCCACCGCTCTCCACCTGTCCAGTCCCTCTCGTCTCACCCCTCTCACCTCCCGCCACAGCATCCCTCTCTGGCCCAATCATCTGCTGACAGCTGGCAGCTCGAGCTGCAGCAGTCTCTCCCTGCTGCTGTCCCTCTCTTCCTTCCTCTGCCCCCACCTCCCCTACTACCCCCACTGCCTCCACTTGCCCCGTTATAGTCACCCCCCCCACTACCACCCCAACCATCTCCGTCGCACTCCCCTCATGCTCCTCTCCCACCACCCTCACTCCAACCCCTCCTCCCTCACTCCCCACCTGCACCTCAGAAAACACCTGTCCAGCCGGCACCTGAGGGGGCACCTGAGAAAACACCTGAGCAGCGCTCTTGGAGGCAGATAGGCCCGGGGCAGAGGAGCGAGGGCCAGGGGGGTGCCGCTTCCTTACCTTGCGACTGACTGTGGAGGAGGGGACAGGGGGAGGTAGCATTGGGGAGGAGGTGACAACTGGGGAAGGGGGTTCTGACGGGGTCGATTCCTTGTCCTCCTCCCTGCCCTTCTGTTTCCGAGCCTCGTCGTCAGCTTCGGCCCCAACCTTGTCTGCAGCTTCGGCACCAGCTTCCCCTTGAGGAAACGACGAACCGTCCAAGTTCCCCGAGTGCTGACCTGGCACCACACCTGCCACATCACCTGCCACATCACCTGCCACGTCACCACCCCCACCCGAAGCCTCCTTCCCTCCCTCCCCTCTCCGCTCATCCGCGGGGAAATTCAGCTTCGCCTGAGCACCATGCACGCGCAGCACTGCCACGTCATACGCCAGCGCAGCCTCCTCCGCAGTCGCATAAAATCCTACGTGGCGCTGACGTGTCCCGTCGCGTGCCAGCATGCGCGCCTGGTACTTGCCGGCCGCCTTGAGTGTGACTCCCAGGTACCCCGTCGCAGCTGGCACGCGCACGCGGCTTCGCAGCGACGCCTTTCGGTTGAGCGCACTGCTGGTAGGGCTGGTGGGAGGGGGCGTGGCGGTGGTGGCGGTGGTGGTGGTGGGAGTGGTGGTAGGGGTTTTGGGAGTCGGTGCGGTGGTAGTGCGTGTGGTGGTGGTAGGATTGGTGGAAGGCAGTGTAGTAGTGTTTGGAATGGTGCCGCCAGTGGTAGTGCCAGTGGTGGTGGGGGTGGTGGTAAGGGTGGTGGTGGAGGGGGGAGAAGTACTCTTGGGTGGCATGGTGGCGGTACCAGCTTCAATAACCTGTACCTCCTCTTCCTCTTCTTCCCCTCCCTCTACCCCTTCCCCTTCCTCTTCCTCCTTGCCTTCCCTTTCCCTTCCCCCTTCCCTTTCCTCTTCCCCTCCCCTTTTCCCTTCCCCTTCATCCTCCCCCTCCACAGAACCACCATTTTCCCCGCTCTGGATAGAACCCAATGTATTTTTCGTTTCCTGTGGCTCTTTATCTGTCTGGGCCCGCACCCACCGCCCCTTCACACCCCTCTGTGGCACCTTCTCTCCGATAGGTTTCACGTCAGGTGCTCTTCCAGGGGGTACGCCAGGAGAATCACCAGGAGTTTTTCCAGGTGTTTTGTTCGGCGTTTTGGCACGTGCCTTGACTGCCTTCTTGGCAGGCGGTCTACCCAGTGCTGCAATAGGCGTTTCTTCAGATGTTCCGTGCAGTCCTTCATCAGGTGTTTCTTCAGGTGTTGCTTCAGGTGTTGAGTCAGGTGCTTCTGCTAAACCACCTGGGACAGCAGCAGCGGTGGGACCCGGCGCTCGGTTCACCTGAGAAGAAGCAGTCTCATGATCGATGCTCTCTGCTGCCTGCTTGCTGCTCCCTCCTGCCTTCACCCCTGCCTTCTTACCTCCCGCGCCTTTCCCTCCTCCTGCCTTCCCCCCCTGCTTCCCTGGCAGCTTTCCAAAATGCTTCCGAGGAGACTTCCCAAGCGGTTTCTCTGCCGTTTTTCCTGGTACCTTCCCTGCCTGCTTCTCCCCCTGCTTTGCTGCCTGTGTCCGCCCTTCAGTTGCTGATGCTGTTGCACTGGCGGGAGCTGCAACAGAACTGGCGGCAGTCGCATCGGCAGCAGCAGCAGCAGGAGGAGAAGCACCAGGAAGAGGAGAAGCAGCAGGAGGAGAAGCACCAGGAAGAGGAGAAGCAGCAGGAGGAGAAGCACCAGGAAGAGGAGAAGCAGCAGGAGGAGAAGCACCAGGAAGAGGAGAAGCAGCAGCAGGAGGACCAGAGGGGGATGAGGGAACGGGAAGAGGAGGGGCGGCCACAGCAGGAGAAGAGGGAGAGAGGGGGGGAGGAACGGGCCAGTTAGGGTGAGCGAGGGGGGGAGGGGGAGGGACAATGGTGACGCCTGTGAGGGAGATTCGCCACCTAGAGTTCACCTTGTATGTCCCGTTCTTGTCCCGCTCCTCTCTGCCTCTCCGCCTCCGCTTCCTCCCGCCCACTCTCCCTCCCATCCCACCAAACCAGTAACCGTAACCATACTTGTCGTAACCGTACTTGTTATACCCATACCCATACCCATACCCATTGCCAGAGCCATAGCCAGGACCATTACCAGGACCACTAGCAGCAATGCCATTCCCTTTCCTCTCTGAACTTTCGTTTCCCACTTCATCCCCCGTCCTCTGCCTCTTCCTTCCCACCTTCCCTTCCCCCTCACCTCCCCCTTATCCACACACCCCTCATCCCGCCCTTCCCCATTTACATTCTCTCCCCGCCTCTCCGAACCTCCCTTCCCCTCCTTCTCTCCCAGTTCCTCTGCCTCCACCACCCCCTCCGCCTTCACTTCCTCCTCTCCCGCCTTTTCTTTCACCTTCACTTCCGCCTCTTTCGCATTTTCTTCCTCCTCCTCCTCCTCGCCCGCCATGGCGCGGGCCAAGGCTGCTTGGTGCGCGGCCCACACTTGCTGCACCCATAGCAGCGTGCCCACGTACGGGTCGGCCGTGTCTGTGCTTGAATGTGGTTCGGCCGTGCCTGTGGCCAGGTACAAGTCGTCCGTGCCTCTGCCCTGTTGCTCTTGTTGGCCAGTTTCTTTCAGAACTCCATCACCTGCTGCTCCTGCTGCTGCTTCCGTCCTTGTTGCTGCTGCACTAGAAGCACCACCAGCAGAGGCATCAGCAGCAGCAGCACCACCACCAGCAGCAGCATCACCAGCAGCAGCAGCAGCAGCACCACCAGCAACAGCAGCAGTACCAGTAGAAGCACCAGCAGCAGCAGCAGCACCACCACCACCACCACCACCCGCAGAGGCACCAGCAGCAGCAGTATCAGTAGAAGCACCAGCAGCAGCAGCAGCAGCAGCACCAGCACCAGCAGCAGCACCAGCAGCAGCACCACCAGCAGCAGCAGCAGCAGCAGCACCAGCAGCAGCAGCAGCGGGCACGGGGCGAGAGCCTCGCTTAGAGGGCACAAGGCGGGCGACCTTCCACCCCCCTGGTGGAGCCACGCGCACACGCCCCTTCAGGGGAGCAGGGGGGACAGCGCACGCTGCAGGGGCAGCAGCAGGAGGAGCGGGGGGAGCAGGAGGAGCAGGAGCAGGAGAAGAAACCAGAGGAGAAACGGCAGCAGGAGTAGGCGCAGCAGAGACAGGTTTGGGTGATGGGGGCACGAGAGGAGATGGGGTGACGCAAGGAGCAGGTATGACCGGCACGCCTGTTCCTTGCCCCAATGCCTTTTGCCTCTTCTTCTTCACTCCCACTTTCCCACTACTCATCTTCACTCGCTTTTCCCCTTTGCCTGTCGCCTTTGCTCCTGCACTCCCTGTCCGCTCCCCCACCCCCATCCTCGCACTCTTATTTTCCCCCTCATTCTCCCTCTCCTTCCTCCTCTCATGCCTCCACCCATCCTTCCAACCCCCTTCCTCTCCCCCCTCCTCACCCTCCCCCTCCTCCTCACGCCCCTCCTTCCCCTCACTCCCCTCCTCCTCTTCCTCCTTGTTCCCCAACTGCTTTCTCCTCCTTTTCTTCCCACCCAATGTCACCTCCTTCCCATCACCCGCTACCAATGCACCCCTCGCGTGAACCCCCACATCATTCACCCCAAAGCCCGTATTTCCAGTGACTAGACCCTTACCACTCCGATCCCCCTTCCCACCCACACCTGCAGCATCTTCCACAGCAGCAGCACTGCCACCAGCAGCACCACCACCTGTAGCAGCAGCAACAGCAGCAGCAGCAGCTTCACCTGCATTCGCCACATCCCTCATACGGGGCACCACCATAGCACTAGTATTTAGCACCACATCCTGCCCAAACTTCACCAGATGCAGCCGCAGCAAATTCGGACCTTCCACCTCAAACACCAGCGCTTCCCCCTCCTGCAACCCCAGGGTCCCAGCCAACTCCCCCCATCCGTCCTTCAGCCTATACACCTGCACTCCCTTTGAATACACCCCCCACCGCATCTCCCACCTCCTTCCGCCCGGGCCAATCACAGCCATCCGATCGGACCCGGCCAGGTGGCGCTTCACGAACGGCCCGGGTAGATCCAACCCCTTATCCGCGGTCGCGATGACGTGGCGGGTCACAAACTTCACAAAGGACGGCCGCGGCGTCCGCATTCGGTGCACCTTGCGCACGGTCTCGCCCTGCAGGGACAGCGGGCTGATACCCATCGACACATACGGCACGAACCCGAGCTTCTCTCCGTTGGGTCCAGTGTCCTGCTTGCCTGCGTAACCCTTGAGCTCTCGCACTGCCCTCAGCTTCATGACGTCTTTGCGAGGGAGCCCTTTCTCCCGCTCCCTGTCCCGGTCCCGGGTTCTCCTCACCAGGCTCTCCCCTCTCACCACCCTCACAACATCGTCATCGTCCTCATCATCCTCATCATCTTCAGTATCGCCATCATTGGCACCATGGGCATCGTCAGGAGCAGCAGCAGCAGCAGCAGCAGCATCAGCAGCAACAGCAGAAACAGCAGAAGCAGAAGCAGAGGGATTGGCATCAGCATCAGCAGCAGCAACAAAAGTAGCATCAGCAGTAGCACCAGCAGTGCCAGCAGCAGTAGCAGCAGCAGTTCCATCAGCAGCATTAGAAACAGCATGATCACGAGCCACGGCATGATCGACCTTCTCCTCTTCGCCCTTCTGCCTCTCCACCACCTGTGCTACCATCTTCCCCTTCCCCTGCTTCTTCTCCTCCTCAAGCTGCGTCTTTCTCAGAAACTTCCCCTCACTCCCTCCATTATCAAGCACCTTAGCCGCCTCTTCACTCTCCTCTTCCTTCTTTTCATCATTATTACCATCACCATCGCAATCACCTCTTCTTTTGACCTCCCCCTCCTCTCCTCCTTCCTCCCTAGCTTTCTCTTTCATCTCCTCACCCCCCATCTCCTTCCGTCCTTTCTTTTCCTCATCTTCCTTCTCCTTCTCCTTCTCCTTCTCCTTCTCCTTCTCCTTCTCCTTCTCCTTCTCCTTCTCCTTCTCCTTTTCCTTCTCCTTCTCCTTCTCCTCCTCCTCTTTCCGTCCCATACGCTCCTTCTCCTCTTTCTTTCTCCCACTCTCCTTGTCATTTTGGTCAGGCTCCACCCTTTTCCCCTCCATCCCCTGACGTCCAACCTTGCTCCCTATAATCTCTTCCTCCCCCCCACTCTCCTCACTACTACTCCCCCTCACTCGCCTCCTCCTCTTCCTCATCTTCCCTCTCCAACGACCTTCCCCTCCCACGCCCACTCCCTCCCCGCCCCCCTCTCCCTCCTCTCCCCCTCCCCCCCCCCTCCCCCTTCCCCTCCTTCCACCCACCCTACCACCACCACGAACCCCCCCCCCCGTTCCACCCTCACACCCCTTCCCCTACCCCTCCCTCCCCTCCCTCCCCTCCCCCTCCCTCCTCTTCCTGAGGGCTCGATCATAACGACATCCTCCCCTCCCTCCTCCTCCTCCCCCTCTGAAACGTTTCCACTCCCTTTTCCCTTCTCCTGCATTTTTCCTCGGCCTCCTTTCGTCGCTCTCGCTCCTTCTCCTTCTCCTTCTCCTTCTCCTTCTCCTTCTCCTTCTCCTTCTCCTTCTCCTTCTCCTTCTCCTTCTCCTTCTCCTTCTCCTTCTCCTTCTCCTTCCCCTTTTCCTTCACCTTTTCCTTCTCCTCCTTTTCCTTCTCCTTCCCCCTTTCCTTCTCCTTTTCCTTCTCCTCCTCCTTCTCCCTTTCCTTCCCCTTCTTTTCTCCTCGTCATTCTCCCTTCCCTTCTTCTCCTCCTCCTCCTCCTTCTCCCTTTCCTCCTTATCCTCCTCCTTATTCCCCTCCTCCTCCTCGCTTTCCTCCTTCTCCTTTTTGTCCTCCTCCTTTTCCTCCTCTTCCTCCTTCTCTTTCCCTTCTTTCTCCCCCTCCTTCTCCTCTCCCGTCCCCTCGTTCCTTCCTTTGTCCCTCGCCTCTCCCTTCCCCTCGTCCCTCCCGTCACACTCCACTGCACAATCCCCTTGCAAGCCCCCACGACCCTTAAAGCCCATGTCACCATTCTTGCCACCACTTGCTAAATCTGCCTCACAGCTGGGTTGACTGCTGGGTTGATTGCTGGGTTGACTGCTGGGTTGATTGCTGGGTTGACTGCTGGGTTGACTGCTGGGTTGACTGCTGGGTTGACTGCTGGGTTGACTGCTGGGTTGACTGCTGGGTTGACTGCTGGGTTGACCACTGGGTTGACCATTGGGTTGACTGCCCTCTTTACCCTTTGCATTAACCCCACCACCATCACCACCCCTGACCCCAGTGCCATCACCATCAGCACCATCAGCACCATCAGCAACGCGAGCAGCAGAAGAAGCAGCCACTGAGTTACAAACAGCTGCACTCACCTCCCTCTCCTCCCCCACCTTCCTCACCTCCCTCACCTCCTTCTCCTGCCCAACTTCCCCCACTACCCTCCCCTCCCTCCTCTGCACCACACGTTCACCTCTGCTCTCTGCTGCCCTGCCTTCCTTCCCCACCTCCCTTACCTCCTTCTCCTGCCCATCTTCCAACACCGCCCTCCCCTCCCTCCCCTGCACCGCGCGTCCACCTCTGCTCTCTGCCTTTTGAGACGTCTCGAAACTCCCCTCCCTCCCCTGCACCACACGTCCACCTCTGCTCTCTGCCGCCCGTCCTTCTCCTTCCTTCCTCTCCTCCCCATCCCTCTCCCCCCCTTTCATCCCCTCCTCCCTTTTCATCTCCTCCTTCCCATTCCTCACCTCCCCTTTCATCTCCCCCTCTTTACTCCCCTCACTCGCTTCTTCCCTTCCCCTCCCAACACACTCCTCCCCCCTGCCACTCTTCTCATCCATACTCTCCTTCCTCTCTCCTTCACTCTCCCCATCCCCCTCTCTTTGCACCCCAAATTCCCGCCCTCGGCCCCCTTCGGACTCTCCTTTTTGTCCCTCCTTTCCCTCCTCAACCTTCCCTCGCGCACCCACGCACTCCAAATCTCCTTCCTTCTCACTCCTATCCCCAGACGCATCCCTCTCGCTTGCACCGTTTCTTTCCCCATCAATCCCTGAGGCTCCTGTCTCCCCTTTCTCCCCTTTCTCCCCTTTCTCCCCTTTCTCCCCTTTCTCCCCTTTCTCCCCTTTCTCCCCTATCTCCCCACCCCCTCGCGTCACATGTATGCTATCTAATCGCTTCACCTTCTTCCTCTTCACCTTGGGTTCCATGTCTGCCTCTACCCGCACCTTCCCCGCTCCCTTCTGTGCCTCTCCCTTTCCTCTCCCCCCGTCTGAGTCTCGGCCCTTCCCAACTCCCTCCTGTGCCTCTCCCTGTTCTCTCCCGTTCTCTGCCTCTACCCGCACCTTCCCCACTCCCTCCTGTGCCTCCCCCTGTTCTCTCCCACTCTCTGGTTCTACCCGCACCTTCCCCACTCCACCCTGTGCCTCCTCTTTCTCGCTCCCTCTCTCTGCCTCTATCTGGGCCACTCCCTCCTGTGCCTCTCCCTTCTCACTCCGGCTCTCTGGTGCTACCCGCACCTTCTCCACTCCGCATGGTGGGATGGCAGGTTGCTGCTGCTTCTCTTGCTGCTGCTTCTCTTGCTGCTGCTTCTCTTGCTGCTGCTTCTCTTGCTGCTGCTTCTCTTGCTGCTGCTTCTCTTGCTGCTGCTTCTCTTGCTGCTGCTTCTCTTGCTGCTGCTTCTCTTGCTGCTGCTTCTCTTGCTGCTGCTTCTCTTGCTGCTGCTTCTCTTGCTGCTGCTTCTCTTGCTGCTGCTTCTCTTGCTGCTGCTTCTCTTGCTGCTGCTTCTCTTGCTGCTGCTTCTCTTGCTGCTGCTTCTCTTGCTGCTGCTTCTCTTGGTGCAGCTTCTCTTGCTCCTTCTCCTGATGCTTTTCTTTCTCCTTCTCCTGCTGCTTTTCTTGCTCGTTCTCCTGCTGCTCCTCTTGCTGCTTCTCTTCCTTGTGCTTAAGCTGCTCCTTCTCTTGCTCCTGCCCTTGCTGCTGCACCTCCTGCTGTTTCTCGTGCTGCTGCTTGTCTTGCTGCTGCTGTTCTACAGATGTTCTCAAGCGAACCACGCTCCCCTGTGAATGCGGTCCTGCATCGTCCGAGCCTGCTACAGCCGAGCCAGCTAAGACTGCTGCAACAGGAGGAGCGATTGGCACCAAGGAAACTGCTGTGCTGCCACACTCCTTTCCCTTCTCACTCTCCTTCCCCTTCTCACACTTCTTCCCGTTCTCACTTTCCTTCCCCTTCTCACACTCATTCCCCTTCACACCCCCCTTCCCCGTCCCAACCTCCTTCCCCTTCACACCCTCCTTCCCCGTCCCCACCTCCTTCCCCGTCCCCACCTCATTCCCCTTCTCACCCTCTTTCCCCTTTTCACCCTCTTTCCCCGTTTCACCCTCCTTCCCCGTCTCACCCTCCTTCCCCTTCTCACCCTCCTTCCCCTTCTCACACTCCTTCCTCTTTTCACCCTCCTTCCTCTTCTCACCCACCTTCCTCTTTTCACCCTCCTTCCCCTTCGCAGTTGACTGAGACACCACCTGCCTGGTGATCCTTCCACAGCCAAGCACGTCCACTCTCCCCTCTGCCTTGCCTTCCTCCTCCGCTGCAGTCGGCTCACGCATCACCCTGCTGACCCTGTCAGTGGCCCTCATATCGTGCCTCCCCCTGCCGTTCGTTTCTCCTCTGCTGCTCCCTCCTCCCCTCTCCGCTCCTCCTTCCCCCCGTTACCCTCCTCGTCCCCTCCCTCCGCTCCGCTGTTCTCTCTCTTCTCATCACGAGACGACTTTTGAGATGTCTCAAGAGTCGCAGCCTCCACCACCCGTTCCTCTCTCTTCGCGTCCACTGCTCCCACTGCTCCCAACGCTCCCGTTGCTCCCACTGATCCTGTTGCTCCCGTTCCTCCCACTGATCCTGTTGCTCCCGTTCCTCCCACTGATCCTGTTGCTCCCACTGCTCCCACTGCTCCCGTTGCTCCCATTGTCCCTGTACCCTTTCCCTCCACCTTCTTCCTCCCTCGCTCCTCCTCTTCCCTCATCTCCGCCTCTCTCGCCCCCACCATGCCCTCTCGCTTCTCCCTCTCCCTCACTTCATCATCCACTCCCTCCGCCCCCTTCGCCTTTCCCTCCTGCGACTTTCCCCTCTCCTTCACGTCGTTTCCATCCGCTTCCTTTTCCACCCCATCCCTTCCATCCCCGTTCGGCCCCATTGCACAGAAGTATCAGGAGTAGCAGTAACCATCTTCGCTCCGTCTCATTGTGCAAATATGTAATGCGTGGAAATGGAGGTAAGTGACTCACTAAAATATTCAAGACAATAATAGCGCATGGAACTGAAACGAGACGCGCTGAGGCCACGAGCCTACTGCGTCGTTCTCGCTGCAACTGAGAACTACACCCTAGCTGAGGTTGGCAACGCACTCGGAAACGCTTAACAAAATTCAGAAGCTAAGCTAATGATCGGACAGTGTGAAAACGGGGAGTGTGAGCGTGGTTTCGTTACTGAAGACTCTGCTAGATTCCCAACCCTAATTTCAGGTATGTAGCCTAAGTTGTCTATCTAACTTAGGGAGTCCTTTTTTTAGACAGTGACGAAGCAATTAATTCCTTCTATTGGACATTCCTTGATCAATATACTTATCTGACTTCTAGGGGCCTGCTAAAACCAATCTAGGGGCATGTACACAGTAGCAGTCATGTTTTGAACATCCTCGAACGTACAACCAATATCGCGTATGGATAGAAAGAGGAAAAGGGAAAGAGGGAGAAGGAAAAGGGAAAGAAAGACACCAGAAACAACTCAAACGCAACACCCATAAAAAGCCCCATAAAAATACTCCATAAAGAAAAAACCCAACCAGGATCCCCTACCAGACGTCCCATCTCGCACCCCATTCCCCCTCGCCCCCCCCCCCCTCCCCTCCCCCCCCAAGTCACATCTGCACATCCACCATGTAGGGGGCCTCCACCCAAAGAGGCCCGCCCTCCACCTCGACATCGTCCCTCTCCCGATCCACCAAGTCCACATTCAACCCCCCCATGGAAGACGCCGCCCGAAGCAGGATGACACGAGCTTGCGCCCGTTGTAACGCCACTCCGATGAGCGCCTTCAGAGACCCCAAAAGGTAAGCCGAGAACGAAGTGTCATCCTCCCGACAAGCCCCCCGTGACACAGCTAGCCCCACGTGCGCGTCCCCCTGCTGTCGAAGCCACCGCCGGAAGCGACCGCCGAGACACCCCCACGTCTCCACTATCAAAGGGGTGAACTGCACGCCTCGGTTCCGTGCAAGAAGAGGCGCGTAATCCCCCGTTTTGCGACGCTCCCACTCCTTTGCCGCCACGCCTATAGACCGCCCGCACTGCCCTAGCAGAGATGGAGACAGTGATAGCGGGTCCGCGACACTAATCTCTAAAGCATGAGCCTCCCCAGCCATTGGTCGTCGCACCGCTACGTCAACCCGCTTCCCCGGCAGCACCGCACTATCCTCCATCGTCACCACCCCCCCTGACGCCTTAGCGATCTTTGCCACCGAAAAAAACTTCACCTCATCATGCACCCGAGATGGACCGTGTTGGTGCTTGCATCTCAGCGCATGATGCGGGTCTGCTGGGTCATCATACGCTGTGCCACAAACACACCTCCCCGCCACTTGCAGCTGCTGGATTGGGAGACCAAGCCGTATAGCAGCAGCAATGCCCCACTCCGCTGCAGTGAATGTGAGATCTGAATGAGCCGGAACTGCCGAAACCCATGCACCAGCCCCCGGGCCCTGAAGGGATGTGAAACGGGCCAGGGTGGCATCGTCACGAGCCAAGCGGCGGAGTGCCTGGAGCTCCTCAACAGCCAACTGCCGCTGCCGCGCCTGGAAAAGCCGAAGAGGAGGGGCCGCCACACACAGGGGTAAGTCCGGCAGCTCCTGGCGTATAGTCGCGGGCAACTGCTCAATGGCCTTGGCAAACCACGGGTCAAGAAGCTCCGCCCCCGCCGAAGTGGTGAGGTACTCTGCGAACATCGCCTCCTCGCCCGCCACCCCCAAATGTGCAATATCCCGTGCGGCCTGCGCCCACCCACAAACATAGGAGAGCGGACTCAAAGAGGCCGCCGCCCGGATCCCAAACCCTCCGAGGCGCACAGGGAGATGCAGCTGCATGCGTGCGCGCCTAGACCTGCCGGGGTCCTGCTCCCAAGTGCCAGGGGGGAAAAGCTGCTCAAAGCAATCCTCCAGACAGCTGTCCCACTCTCTAAAGGCCTCCACCACCTCCGGCCGCGGCGGCATAGTCCGGGCCAGGTACATCGGCCGTGCTGAAACTGCAATAGCGAGGAGATGCGAGGCCATCTGGGGGTGGTCGAGCAGGGGGAGCCACGGCAATGGCGCCTGCAACTCGCGAAGCCGCTTCCGTAATCGGGCCCCCTCCCAATCCTCCTCCCCAATAGGCACGCCTACCACTGTGAGACCCTCCTCCTCCCGCTGCATCCCCAAAGGCAATGCCCGCTCCATATCCCCACCTCCACGCTCCCAAAACCTGCACTTGTGCGCCTGCACTTCCAGCCCCACCCACTCCAACCTCTCCCGCAGCACCCCAAAAGCCTCCAGAATCCTAGCCGCTGGTCCCAGGATGTAGGTATCGTCTGCATAGCTCAAGAAAAGTAGGTCCCTGAACTCTCTAGTCACCGTCCCCAGCACCTGCTGCTGCGTGAAAGCGAAAAGAAAAGGGCCGAGCGGGTCCCCCTGTCGCGATCCTCGTGCCGACTCAAGACTCTGTACGAAAGGGCCCGATCGGAGATACAGGTCGCTAGGTGTCCCATAGAAGACACGCAAGAATGGGATCATTCCTGAGAAAGGCGACTCCTTCAGCCCCTCGAACATCGCGTGGCGATGAAACGAATTGAAGGCGTTCGCGACATCTATCTGCAGCGCACACCAGTCGGGGTGAGTGGCCAGCGCTGACCGGAAAGAATGAGTAAGAATCTCCACCCCGGCCCTGGTGCCCACTCCCAGCTGGTTACACGGCAGAAAATAAGAAGCCATCACAGGGCGAAGCGAGATGCAGAGAGCTCGAGCGAGGATACGCGGAAGCACCTCCCCGATCGCCACCGGCCGGACGTCACCGTTGGGTTTGGAAAGCCCGACTAGGTTGGATGCGGCGAGCCAGGGCCGAGCTCGCTCGGGGACCTGTCCCGCCACCCATTGGTTGAACACTTCCAGCAGGTGGGAGAGGCAGGAAGGTTCCGTGAGGAAAGTGTCGCGCAGATGCTCTGTGACCCATCCCGATGGCCCTGCAGCTGAGGCGCGAGCAGCTGTGTGGATAGCTCTAGCCAGGATGTCGGTCGTGAGTGGAGGCCGCTGAGGAGCGTCGACAGTAAACTCACGAACCCACGGTGGTACCTCGCCACTGCTAGCTGGGTGCTTCCCTCGCAGCGACTGCACCATAGCCTCAGACGGTCGAGCCAACTCTCCTGCTGTGAGGCAAGCCAAACCACGGCTCCACTCTCCCACTTTACACCGAGATCGGCACCGTGACAGGCGGATGGCCTCCGGGTCCTGGTCAGAGCACGTGTAGGCAAGTGGGCGAACTGCTGGCCGTGCCGCCGCCATGGCAGCGTCGAACAACTCCCGCCACCTCCCCTCCCAGAAGGCCCCCAGCCGCTCTATGATCAGCGCCTTCTGACCTATGCCTGGCTTGGGAGGCACGGCTAGGATGAGGCGCGGAAACGCCAGGAGTAGGAGGGTAGCAGCTTCATCTCCCGGTCGGCTCTTCAGCCGCTTCAAGATGCAACAGAGTGCGTCTAAGACCCCGGACCGGGCCCGCTGCGGGATCCGGCGCACTGTCCTCCCTCCAACCGCCTCCACACAGAAAAATGCCTCCCACTCCCATGACTTAACCCCTGCCCACGCCTCGTCCCCAAATTCCCGCGGCGTCGGTCGCTCCTGTGTGTCGGTCTCCACCAGAGACGGGATCGAGCCAAGTGCCTGCGCGCGTCTCTCCGCCTCAGCCGCCCGGCATACCCTCATGTGGTTCGCAGCGGCCCCTCTCGTAGCGAAAGTGTGGAAACACGTGTCACACGGGAAACGGGGGCATGGGGAAGGCGGACTGGGTGGTTCTCCGTCCGCCTCTGACTCCTCCGCAGTCGCCATGGGGGTATCAAACTCCAAAAGTCGGCACCACTCCTCCAACTGCTGTTCCCGGTCGTCCATCGATCCCCCCCCTGCCTGCTGCGTACCCTGGGGTGCCCCGGGCACCCTCGGCTCCCCTCCTGCCTGCTGCACTCCCTGGGGTGCCCCGGGCACCCCCGGCTGCCCCCCTGCCTGCTGCTCTCCCTGGGGTGCTCCGGCCACCCCCGGCTCCCCTCCTATCTGCTGCACTCCCTGGGGTGCCCCGGGCACCCCCGGCTGCCCCCCTGCCTGGGGTGCCCCGGGCACCCCCGGCTGCCCCCCTGCCTGCTGCTCTCCCTGGGGTGCTCCGGCCACCCTCGGCTCCCCTCCTGCCTGCTGCACTCCCTGGGGTGCCCCGGGCACCCTCGGCTCCCCTCCTGCCTGCTGCACTCCCTGGGGTGCCCCGGGCACCCTCGGCTCCCCTCCTGCCTGCTGCACTCCCTGGGGTGCCCCGGGCACCCTCGGCTCCCCTCCTGCCTGCTGCGCTCCCTGGGGTGCTCCGGGCACCTCCGGCTGCCCCCCTGCCTGCTGCGCTCCCTGGGGTGCTCCGGGCGCTCTATGGGGTCCCCCTGTCACCCCCGGCTGCCCCCCTGGCTGCTGCACTCCCCGGGGTGCCCTAGTCCTCTCCGCCCGACCACCGGTCTGCCACCCTCCCTGGGTTGCCTCTGTCGCCTCCGGCACCTCCCCGGCCTGCAGCACCCCCTGAGGCGCCCTTGTCGACCCCTGCTGACCCCCTGGCTGCTGCTCGCCCTGGGATGCTCCTTGCAACTTGGCTGCGTGTCGTCTCCCTCTTCGGCCCCGAGCTCGCGACCTTTTCGCTTGGCCTGCGCCGCCCGGGCTAGCGACCCCCTGCTGAACCCGCGCCTGTTGCTCTTGCAACCCACTGATCGGCTCTTCAAGTTGCATGCTTCTACGCTCTTGGGGCCGGTTCCTTTCTCGACACCCTTGCTGCTCCCCTTCTTGCGGCTGAGACTGATTCTCCGTTTGACACCCCTCCTGTACGCTTCCCTGCCGCTCTCCCCCCCCCTCCTCCTGTGCCTCCTCCATCTCCACCTCCAACACCTGCGGCCACTCAGCTTGCAGCCCAAGCTGTCTCTCGACCTGCTGCTCCGTTACCATTCCTATCTCTATCTCCATGTCCACTTCCGACTCCTGCTCCCCCCCAGCCTGCGGGTCTTCCTTCCCCTCTGCCGGCAGCTCTTGCTGCCTCGTTGCCTGCGGCTCCTGCTGCCCTCCAGCCTGCAGCTCTTGCTGCCTTTCAGCCGGCAGCTCCTGTTGCCCCCCCATCTCCATCACCATCACCGCCTCCGAAGCCTGCTGCCCCTCGACCTGCCGGTCCTGATCCCACCCAGCCTGCGACTCCTGCTGCCCCCCAGCCGGCCCCTCTTGCTGCCTCCCAGCCCGCAGCTCCTGCCGCCTCCAGGTCGGCCCCTCTTGCTGCCCCCCAGCCTGTGGTCTCCTATATACTTATCTGCATGTGTGGTCTCCTATATTTGTGATAAAACAAAGGCCAATTTGGCCTTACTGCCCTTGTATGGTTTTGTATCTACAACAATAAAGTAATACATGGTCTTGGATTTATGCGAGCTCATGTATTCGATAAAATGATGATTTTTAAAAGAATGCATACTCAAGACATTGATGACTAGTAACAAAAAAGTATGGCAAAAAACCTAAGGATATAAAGTGGACTTTCTGTCTAGTGAGAAACTAGTAGTGTACATAACCAAGTATATGGATGTATAGAACTCAGACTGTATCCACACCGCAGCTGACTGTGAGGGTTGGATGTTGATCGTCGCGAATCTCACCGATGAATGCGTCTCATGCGGAAAGGCCCGGCCACCCAAATTTCTGTGTAGAGCCAGCACATGTTTCTCAGGGCACGGATTGGCTGTCTCGCGAGAAAAGCATTGTCGTCCACGCCGACACATCGGCTTACGCGTCCATAACATTGACCTGCATGAGGCCATTATCGGGCAATGAAAATTATCGCTTTTACAAATGGTTACACCGCTTTACCCGACAAATTTACAAATTTAACGGGCATCTCCCAGGGATCTGTCACATAACGGACACCTATGGGCTCAGCTGTACCAAAACAGCAATGTGAGAGTGCCCCTGGAAGTTGGGGCTGATGGCGATACGAGACAGAAAGGACGCACGAGGTGTCATCATTCAGAACGTGAAGCAGCATTTAGCTCTCACATGATTCTGTCACGCTGGCAATACGCAACTATTAGAAGGCAGATATTGGTTCTGACAAAGTTTCCTACCCTGACCAGCTGATATGCACATTACCAACGTGTTTGGAAACTACAATACTTGGGACTTCATTACTGATATAATGTGCGCCGTCCACTCTTAACAGCCCACGAAACAGTTATGCAGTGAGGGCTAATAGCATTCTATACACAAAAAGAAACAGATGTGGTGCAATCCAGCTTCAGCATGTGAAAGGCAGGTTTGCTGTTTACCCGTGTTCCACCGATAAAGCACCACTTCTCTTTCCTCTCATTGGTGGTTAGAGGATTAGAACCTTAAGAAGATTACATCCAAGTGTCACATGCCGCTTATTAACGCTGAATCACGTGACAGTCCTGACTTCCGAGTCGTGGCATTGCACGCGTCAACGAAATGTTGCTCTCGTTAGCGCCAAAACAAATTGATTCAGACCTGGGAGAGCCTTGTAGTTTCCTTCCGTTCGTTCTTTGTTTATGAAATGCACTGAAACAAATGCATACTTCCGAAGTCGTAACCAGTTGGCGGGAAGAGGCGAGTAGCATTTAGTTGACAACGCCCTTCTTCGCTCTGTTTTATGCCCTTTCTTTAATAATTGAAACCTGCTTGTTTTTTATTGAACATAGTAGCTCTTGACCGACAGGGCTGTCTGGGAAAGGAAAAGGCACGTCTGTAATGGGTGAGCTGATGAGCATTGCTGCTCCATCCGATGAGACAAATCTGGCTAGTTGAGTTGAGTGATGCGCACATGCAATGCAACCAGCGTAATAACTGCGTGGGCCAGTGCAGGAACTCCGATCACCTCAGACTTCTAGAATGGTCCAGTGGGCAAGCAGCACGAAGCATGCGGGACAGCATCCGCAGAACAGAGCACCAACCCACGCCCCAACAATGCGAGGGGCCCCACGTGAAGCGATGGGCGGGGAACAAGGGTCACCGCCACCGCGTGCGCCAGATGGGCATTGCTCCGCACGGTGGACCGGTGGTGATTGGGATTGGTTGGCAGACAACAAGGAACAAACCAGCCAACACCAAGACGAGACGGACTTACAGGCGAGTGGGAACGAGATGATAAAGCTGATGAGGCGTAACGATTAACAAACAACTTGTTTGTCGAACACGATTCACACAACTCGACTTTATCCTCTCCTCGTCCTCCCTCGCGACGAATTCCGCGTCCTAGAAAGAAGCATTCTTGTACTTCTTCCAGCAGCACAATTTGTGTGTTATCGGAATTGCATTCGTTCTCTCAGCAGTTTCTGGACACGTCCACGTCCACGTTTCTTCAACAAACATCGCTTCACCATGTCGACATCGCAGCAGGAGCTCTTATTAGTGATGCAGCAGCGACAGCGCGCTTTAGCGTCTCTCCTCTCGTCCGGCCTTCCCGGCACGACGACCGCTAACAACAACAACGCCTTCGCGCCACTTTTCACCTCAGGGTGGCCCTCGGGACTTCAACTCCCCTTCGGCGCCGGAAACGCCGCTACTATGATGAACCTCGCAGCGAATCAGGTCGCTATGATTCCGGAAGGCATCGCAGCAGCGCAAAGCGGGCCGACGTCTCTCCCGCAGCTTCAGCTCCTTCGCGCGCTGGCTGCGGCGCAGATCGCCAACGCCGCCGTCAGCGCGGCGCCGCAGGCTTCTCTTTCGAGCCGCGGATCGAAGCGCAGCGCTAAGGACGATAGCAAGCCGCTGCGCCCGCGCAAGCGCGGCCGGCCTTCATACAAGGATCGCGCCGCCGCGGCTCTTGCGGCGGAGGAAGCGGCGAAGGCGGCGAAAGCGGCCGCGTTGGTGGAGCGCGATATGGTTCTCCGCCAAATCGCCGCGCAAATGGCGCCGCAAATGTCGCCGCAAGGAGCGTTGATGCTTCTGCAGCAGCAGATGGCGTTGCAACAAATAGGAATGCTGGGAGCCAACCAGATCGGTGGATTTCCCGCCGGATTGTGCGCTGCGCCGCCTGCGCTCGCTCATGTGCGCGCTGGAAACAACGGCGTGACCGCCACCGGGGCCATGGATGCTGTTCGACAAGCTATGCCGGCGGCTGCCGACAAGATTGCGGATCGTGTGGCTTCCGGAGCCGTCAGCCGTCACTGCACGTCGGACGTTGATTTCGCGGGGCTGGACGGTTCCGCGTGGGACCAATCACGGCTGTTTGCCGTGACGGCGAAAGAGACCCAACGGCAGCGCACGGAGGATGCCGATACGCATCAAAACACGGACGGCCATTCGGGTGACGAAAACGAGAGCGACTTTAACGGAGATGCCTCGAGCTGGCCTCGGCGCGGTGGGAAGCAAACGAAGAGTGCCGTGAATTTGACGCACGAATCTTCGCCGAAGCCTCTGGTCCGGGCGGGGGGATCTTCCGTCACAGAAGACGGTACCCAAGCCGTCGCGGCCGCCGCGCAAGCTGCGACCAATCACGCTGCGCCAAGTGGCATCTTCTTGGCGCCGCCGCCGTCCAAGAGCGCCGCTGGCCCTGGAGCCATGCCGGCTCTTGATTGGATGTTCTCTAAGGACACGCGCTTCGTGCAACCCGCTCCTAAGGAGGACCTGGAGGAGCATGCAGATGAGCATGTTCCTGCCGCCCCTGCAGTACCTGCTCGTCTGGTTGTTTCATCCGTACCTGCAGTCTTTTCGCAGCAGAAGCAGCAACCACATCAGCAGCCGCATCAGCAGCAGCAGCCGCAGCAGCAGCAGCAGCAGCCCCCTGCTGTTGTGGTGGCAGCTGCAATGCAGCTCCTAGCCCAGGCTATGCCAAGTGTGGGGTCCAGGCAAGTGTTGCCTGCTGCTGGTGCTGGTGCAGTGCAAGGCATGGGTCCTGTTGCTGGACTGATGGGCCTGACCAGGTCCAGGAGCAACATTGAAGCTGTGCTTGCTTATGTGGATGCTGAGATCCAGGCAAGGAAATCCAGGATGGGGGAGGCCAAGGAAGGTGCTTCCGTGCCTGCTCATTTGGTTCCCACCTCCGAAGTTAAGGAGGAGCTCAAAGCTCAAGATCAGCTGGACCTGTCACTTCATTTGTAAACTGATAGATCCTGTCTTATGAGTTGGGATTTTGCACATAAAAGTATCTTATGAGTTGGGTTTTTGCACATAAAACAATTCATAGATTCTCTACTAAATTGTCATAGCTATTGTACCTTTCTATGATACAATAGCTAAGGTACAATAGCTGTAAGGAATTTTTCGGATTCCTTACTGGGTCACTCCGTACGCGTACAACCCCGACTTTCGGAAAACCAGGCTCGGTCCGCCGACCTCGCCTTCCGAGCCACCACCGCGTCGCCTTCGGGTTTTCCAACCCCGAACCTGCACCCAACCATCTCGCGACCCCGCGACCTCGGCCTAGTGTTAAAATAGTAGCCTAAGTAGACTAGGGTTTTGGGGTAAGAGAGTAACGAGAGAAACGGAAGAAGAGAGGTTACACTAATGAGCAAGATACATGATATACAGGCCTTCAGATTCGTTTTGGGCGACCCTTAGTAATCAGGGTCCTAGGTATAGTCAACCCTGATGCTCAGGGTAATTTTTTTGTTTCCCTGACAAATGCAGGGTAAAAAAATTGTAAGTCTGTTTGGTCAGGGTATTTATTACGATATACATAGATGTATCATCTAAAGCACAAGGCATCATAGATGTTGGCTCAGTTGGTTCGATTCCGAGTTAGATCTAGAAGGTCGCCGGTTTGAGTCTCATTGTCGGGAGGGTTTTGCTACAGTGTTTCGTCTCGCTACGGTCTGTTCGGATCAGTGTAACTGGGCTTGTACACTGTACAGTCAGAGAAATATGTTCGTTACGCTGTTTTTCAAAGGGTATTAAAAATCTTACACTTTCTGGCCTAGGGTAAAAAATCCACTACCCTGCCTGTGAAAGGGAAGGTGAGCACAGTGGTGCACCACCAAATAGTTAAGAACAATAACTGCAGTAACTACAGCACGCAGGATATATATTAAACATAACTTTGACACACCTGTCAAATGTTGTAGCCTATAGTGAGGTTTGTCTTAGGGGGTACAAAACTTAGGGTTAGCTATATGTACCCCAACCAACATCAATGCACCATCCATTCTTCATTCTGACATGGTATCAGTTAGGTTAGGATCCTGTGGGATCCCGTTCCTCCGTTCTCCGTTCGAGCCTCCCGAGCCTGATCCTAGCTCTCATTCGTTCCGGTTCCGTTGTTACCGCGCGTAGTGCCGCGCCTAGCGCCACTCCTAGCGTCGCGTCCTGCCCGCCCTTTCCCCCTCGTCGCGTCCCTTTCCCCCCGTCGCGTCGCGCCCTTTCCCCCCAGTCGAGTCGCGCCCTTTTCCCCCCGTCGCGTCGCGCTCTTTCCCCCCGTCGCGTCGCGCCCTTTCCCCCCGTCGCGTCGCGCCCTTTCCCCCCGTCCCGTCGCCCTGCCCCGTCCCGTCGCCCTGCCCCGTCCCGTCGCCCTCCCCCGTCCCGTCGCCCTGCCCCGTCCCGTCGCCCTTCCCCGTCCCGTCGCCCTGCCCCGTCGCGTCGCCCTGCCCCGTCCCGTCGCCCTGCCCCGTCCCGTCGCCCTTCCCCGTCCCGTCGCCCTGCCCCGTCGCGTCGCCCTGCCCCGTCCCGTCGCCCTGCCCCGTCCCGTCGCCCTTCCCCGTCCCGTCGCCCTGCCCCGTCGCGTCGCCCTGCCCCGTCGCGTCGCCCTTCCCCGTCCCGTCGCCTCTGCTCCGTCGCGTCGCCCTGCCCCGTCGCGTCGCCCTGCCCCGTCGCATCGCGCCCGCCCTTTCCCCCGTCCTGTCGACCCTACGCCCTAGCCCGTTCTTCCGCTGCGACTAAGTCCCCCCACCTGAACCCTAATTTGCCTCTTACCTCCTGCTGTTACTCGCCTGCTCGTTCGCGTTCGTTCTCGCTATGGCGACTCCGCGAGTTCTTCGTTTCGACGCTGACGGTAGACCTCTTGACTTTTCCGTCTGGCTTCTTCGCGCTCGCCGTCTGTTAGAGAGTCAAGTCCAGGGGGGCGAGACCCTCTGGTCGCACGCTACTGGTGACCTCCCCGAGCCCCCCGAGCCTGCCGCTTTAGGTCCTGCCCCTGACGATGCTGCTACGGCTCGCTTTGCCCGTCAGCGCGCTGACAGGACGGCTTGGACGTCGCGTGACGCTGCGGCCTGCATCGCACTCAGCAGCCTCCTCCCTGAGTCAGAGGAGGTCCACTTCACTCAGGTTCGCACCGCTGCTGCGTACCTCACTGCGATTAAGGCCCGCTACTCTACTCCCGCTACTGTCTCTCTTGGCCGTCTTTTCCTCCCGTTCCTGTTTCCTGATCTCGCCTCGTTTGAGCGCTCTGCTGACTTGATCGCTCACCTCCGCTCGCTCGACGCTAGTTACCGCGCTGCTTGCACTGAGGCACAGCTTGCACTGCTTCCTCCCCCTATGGCGATTACTATCTATTTCATCGCCACTAGCCTCCCTGACCGCCTTGCCTCCGTTCGTGACGCGCTTCTGCTGAAGCACCCTAGTGAGCTCACCGTCGATGTCCTTGAGTCTGCACTCAAGGACGTCGAGAGCAACCTTCGCTCGGTAGCCGCTGCCTCTGGTGCTGTGCCCCCCCCACTCTTCCACGGGTGCACAGTCCCGCAGTTACCCACCTTTACTGCCTCACTTGCCACTGCCGCTACTGACGCGACTGCAGCTGCTGTTACGACTGCGTCGCGGTCCCGCGGTAGGAGTGGCAAGAAAGGCGGTTCTGGTGGTGGTAGTGGAGGTGGAGGCGGAGGTAGTGGAGGTGGCGTTGCGCCTGGCGGCGGTGGAGGTTCAGGGCCTGGAGAGGCGCCTCGTGCAGTGACTGGTGACTCCACTGCGCCTGCTAGTGGTGGCGACGCCCGAGTTCGTCAGTCGCCTCCTGTACTTCCTGCCCCGGTTGGTGGAGCAGCGGCGTGGTACCAGGCTCAGCGTCAGCAGCAGCTTCTGCAGCACCAGCAGCCCCTCTCCTCCCAGCAGCCTCAGCAGCAGCAGCGGCAGCAGCTGGCTCCAGGGTCGGGGCTGCGTCAGACCCAGCGCGGTGCTGCTTACACTCCCTGCACCTACCAGGTTCTGACAGGCACTCGTCGTGGCCACCCTTGTGGCCGGTTTCACCCCCCTGGTCAGTGCTTTGCTCAGCTCACTGACACGGTTCGTTTGGTCTACGGGGTTGGTGCTCCTGCCCCTGACTGGCTGCCTCTTGTTCAGCGCTACGGCTCCGCTCTGTGGGGCATGTCTGCTGAGCAGTTAGTTGATCTGATTGGTACTCCCCATGCTATGTATGCTGTTGTTGACTCTAGTGTTTCTGACTCTGCTTACTCTGGTGTTGTTAGCTTAGGTGCTAGCCTTGCTCAGTTGCCTGTTGCTAGTGTAGGTTCTTGTGTAGACTCTAGTCCAGCGGCTACCTCAGAGGACGGTTCGCTGTCGTTCACGCTGGACTCTGGAGCCTCTCACTGCTTCTTTCGTGACAGCACGACACTTACGCCTCTTCCTGCGCCTGTTTCTGTGGCGCTGGCTGATCCCACTTCGGGACCAGTCACTGCGCGTCACACTACCACCTTGCCGTGTCCGGCTGCTCCTTCTGGGTCTCTCACTGGGTTTCACGTCCCCTCGTTCTCCCAGAACTTGGTGGGCGTGCGACCCCTCGTGAGTCAGCACGTGGGTGTGTGGTTTGAGCCTTCTGGAGAGACTGCGGTGTGTGTTGACGGGGACTCTTACCAGCCCCTCGCCACTTTTGCTGCTGAGCCGGGCTCCGGTCTCTACACTCTTCACACTGGCCCGCGCGCTCAGCAGCGACTGCAGCAGCAGCAGCAGCAGCAGCAGCAGCAGCAGCAGCAGCAGCGGCAGCAGCCGCAGCCGCAGCCACAGCGGCCGCCGTCGCAGCGGCCACTCCTCCCAGTTCCTGTCCCTCCCCCTAGTCTCCTCCCTGCGTCTCACCAGGTGGTTCCGTCCCCTCAGGTTGTCGCGTCCAGTCCAGTCGCTGCGTCTTGCTCCTGTCGGTCGCTTGCCCACCCCACCGTTCTGTGGCACCACCGGATGGGACACCCTTCTCTTCCACGTCTGCGTGCTATGTCTAGTCAGCGTCTGGTCTTAGGTCTCCCGCGTGTCTTGCCGTCGCTGCCGCCGTCTCTTGCACCACCGTGCGGTCCTTGCGTCGAGGGTAGGCTGCGTGCCACCCCTCACTCCTCCTCCCTTCGTCCGGCCACCGAGCCTTTTGAGACGCTGCACTTGGACGTCTGGGGCCCCTCTCCTCGCCCTGGCCCTGAGCGTGAGCGTTTCTTTTTGGTGGTCGTTGACGACTACTCCCGCTACACCACAGTGTTCCCCCTGGCGAGGAAGTCTGAGGTGACTTCTACGCTGATCAGGTGGTTGCTTACCACCCAGGACACTCGTGGTCGTCGTGTCAGCTGTCTCCACTCCGACCGCGGGGGCGAGTTTCGCTCCGGCATTCTCGCTGGATTCTGTCGCGAACAGGGCATTCGTCAGTCCTGGACGCTTCCGGAGTCCCCACAGCAGAATGGGGTTGCTGAGCGTCGCATAGGCCTGGTCATGGAGATTGCCCGCACCTCCTTGACTCACGCCCGTGCCCCCCATTTCCTGTGGCCATACGCAGTCAGGTACGCCGCGCACCAGCTGAACCTCTGGCCACGCGTCTCTCGGCCGGAGGCTTCACCGACCAGTCTTTGGACAGGGTCCCCTGGTGTCGCGTCGAGGTTTCGTGTCTGGGGGTGCTTGGCTCTTGTCCGCGACACCTCCGCGGACAAGCTCTCGCCTCGCGCCGTTCCTTGTGTCTTCCTTGGTTTCCCTGAGGACTCCTCTGACTTCACCTTTTACCACCCTCCCTCTCACCGGTTCTTTGACTCCCGTGACGTCCGTTTCGAGGAGTCCACCCCGTACTACGTCAGGTACCCCAGTCGAGGTCTCCCGGTTCCTCCTCCCCCCCTCTTCCTGACAGCCGCTCCCCCGCCTGCTCCCCCGGTACAGCCTCCCCCCCCTGGTCCAGCCCCGTCTGGTGTGTCTCAGGCTAGCCCTCCCCCTTCGGTAGC